GAATTTACTGAAAATATTTTATTAATATCTATTGGTTTTCTATTAAATTTGCATATATTTCAATGGAGTTTTGTATAATGAATTCGATAGATGCCATCAAATTGAAAGCACAGGTATTTAATAGACAATCATCAGATTAACCCATGGATTGTATGGAATATTACATTACGTGTGAACTGCTATTAGAAGTGTTAGAATGTATCCGATATTTACATGAAGATTGCAAACCACCGGTCATTCACAGGGATCTCAAACCCGATAACATATTGATTGCTAATGATATCCGAAACGGACGGTTCATTAAATTATGTTTACTTAGGATTATTGACTGTTCACGGAAATGATATCACAGAGTCATACGGCAGGTGTGGGAAGTCCTAAATATATGGCACCCGTGAGTCATAAGTGGTCGCAAATATGATACCAAAGCTGATGTCTATAGTATTAGTTGTATTATTGATGAGTTGTTCGATATGGATGTCAATGAGTTTGTATTTTCTAATTAATTGATAATTAAATTAAATATTAATTTTGAAAAATATTTTTTTTTAATATTTATGTTTAGTTCTGTTGATAAATATCTGCAAAACGATTGGAGTGAAAAATTCAGTAAATTATTAGATATTATTAACGACACAATGAAACCAAGATATATGGATAGACCTACTTGTGCTGAGATTATTCAACAATACAATCAATGGTCAATCGATAGCACAGTTATCCTAAATGATGTCGATTTTAATGAAAAACTACAACAAATTAAACTGAAAGAACAGGAACTTCGTTCAGTGGACAGGTATTCGGAGCCAGAATTTTGGGAATTTTTCTATACATTTGTTTCAATCAAAACTAACTGTTTGAATATGACTTTTTAAAAATATTTATATATATATAATCTACAAATCTATAGATGTTTATAAGTATGATTAGTATCTATATATATTAATTATTAGCTAATTATATACCATTTACTATAAGATTTATTACAATTTAGCTAATTTACTAACAAGCTAAATTTAGTTTATTAAAAAAAACATTTTTCAAAAAAAAAAATGTTTAATTTAATTAAATTTGTTTGTTTTTTAAAAAGATTATTATAAAAAAAAATTTAAAAATAAATATTTAATATAATATTATTGTATCAAATATAAAATACTTTATATACTATATATTATATAATATATTATTAATTATATTATATATTATTAATTATAACTTAATACAATATTTTAAGTTTTTTATAAATTATAAATATATGTTATAAATTTTTAAAAAATGTAATATATATATATATAAAATCTGGGCAAATGTGCTTGACACGGTTTTTTGCCTATAACTTTAAAACTAATAAAGATAAATTTTTTTAAATTGTTTTTGATAGAATGAAATTATCAAACGGATATTAAAATGCAATTTTGGTATATAACAGCTCATGTATGCCGGGTCAGGGATGTTATATATATATATATATCAAAATAGTACTTAGTTTTTTTTAGATATTCTAAAAAACCCATTATTGTGATTATATAAATTTAGTAACAAATATCATTAATAAAATTTTTATATGAAAAAAATTACATAACGATAAAAATGCTTTTCTTTAAAATCTACAAAAAATAAAATAAAATCTTGATAATTAAAAAATGTAAATTAATTATTTCTTATAAAATAATAATAATAGATTAATCTCATAATAAAAAATACCTTGACGCTTTTATTTTAAACCATATGGAAAATATTACATTTTTCTATTCGTTTACATTACAATTTTTAATAATAAAATCATGAAAACATTAAAAAACCATGTCAAACACTTTTATATTATTATTGATTATATATTTATGATTTAAACAATAGTTAACGAAAAATAATTTAATATAAAAATACTTTTATAATATCATATTTTATGTTAATATGAAACAGTGAAACTTAAATTTATTACAAATAAATTTTTAAAAAAAAATTGATAATTAAATTTCTACTAAAAGTCTACTATAAATTTAAAAAAAAACAAACAAACAAAATAAATTCAATTAACAATTATAATTATTTAATATAATATTAAAGTGTATATTATTAGTATTATTATAATTAATATCATAATAATAAACTAAACAAACAAAAATGTTTACTAAAATAAATACACAAAAATTATTATATGTATTTTTGTTGTTAATTTACAACATAATAATAACTGTATGGTCGTCCATTAAAATTCATGACTATCCGAACATAACTGTCCCCGAGTGTGGTATCGGTCGACAATCATTGCTTAGAAACGGCAAATGTTTTCAATGGTTAACCAATGATAGCCTAACCCATGATTTGAATAATGGACGCAATCCAGGACCGGGTGAACTACCGTTTGTTGTCTATATTGAGTATAAGGAGTATAAAAATTTAAAATTTTATATTTTGTAAAATAATATTAACAATAATTAAACAATTAATTAATACTTAATTTATATATATATATACAGTCGATATATTATTAGCTATGGATCGGGTGTTATATTAAACAAACGTTGGATATTAACTGCCGCTCACGTAATATAGTAATTAAATTATTTATTTTAATTTTATTTTTTAATTATTATTCAAACAAACAAAAAATTTTACATATAAATATTTAATGCATAAATAACTTAAAACTATAAATATTTAATATTTAATAATATTTATCAATTAGTATTATAGTTAGTTGAAAAAAATTAAAAAGTTGAAATTGTTATAATATTTTTATTTAAAAAATTATAATAATTATAAAAAAGTGACATGGACATAAAAAATCTTAAAATATATCCGGGCAAATTGTTTATCAACAATGATGATGATAATAGCTATTTAGTGGATAGGGTTGTTATACATTACCTTTACCTACAAACCAGACAATATCATGTGGATATAGCACTTATCAAACTAGTAGCTGATTTGCCGCTTATTAGTCTGGATGGCGGCGCCGCCGGTGCCTATCGATGGCTGAACGGTATATGTTTGCCACCGCTTGACGACTACAATCAATCGGATGAGTTGGCACTGATGGCCGGTTACGGTTCATTGAGTGATACAGTTTCAAGTGATAGACTACAGATGGGTTATATTAGGATTAAGGCAGCCGTCAATAATCGGACAGATCATTGGCGTATTTTTATACTCGGCCAACGATATCCTAAATATAACGGCACCTTTTCATGTCCGGTATGTGTATGTGTATGTGTATGTGTATGTGTATGTGTATGTGTATGTGTATGTGTATGTGTATGTGTATGTGTATGTGTATGTGTATGTGTATGTGTATGTGTATGTGTATGTGTATGTGTATGTGTATGTGTATGTGTATGTGTATGTGTATGTGTATGTGTATGTGTATGTGTATGTGTATGTGTATGTGTATGTGTATGTGTATGTGTATGTGTATGTATTTAATGATTTATCTATCTATACCTAATTAGGGTGATTCTGGTGGTCCATTGTATCAGTATGTAAACGGTAGGGCCGTATTGATTGGCATAACTCGTGGCCGTAATTATGCCCAATATTTGTGCCATGAAATCAATGATCAGATGAGTGTTGAATTTATAAGAGTATCATGGTTTACTGATTGGATTAATGAAACTATTAATAATAATTAATTAACTAGATAAATAATAATCTTATATAAAATGTAGTAATTATGACAATTATTATTATTAAAACATAAATGAATATTTAATTTAAATAATAATTTTATTATATTTTATAATTATTGTATTAATAAGTTACATAATATATAGTTAATTATAATATTTAAAAAATTAATCAAGTTTCTTTATATAAATTTTATAATAATTTCAATAATATTAATATATGTTAACATATTTAAGTTTTATATAATGTTTTTTATTTATTTTAACATTTTAAAAATATTAAAAACAATTGATTAATTATTTTTTTTATTAAATAATATTTATTTATTAAAATAAAATATATTGAGTATATATACAGTATATATTAAAATATGTATTAGTCATACAATATGTTATCATTTTTTCCAATAATATATGATTTTACGATGGATTCATTAATTCSCGTCCAATACTAATCCAATGGATAACACGTCTATTATTACGGGATGTGTTGTCTCTGTAATTGATGGCCAAACCAATGGCCAGACATATCATAAATACYGTCATCAGTGATATGATTATTATAAATGCTTTATAATAATAATCAAGTGATTCAATAATTTGTTTAATATAATTATTATCATTAGTTTTATTGCTAACACACAATAGTTTATTATTGTTATCAGGCACAACTAAATTATTTATACTATAATAACACTATCACAATATAACATCAATGCAATAAAAAACGGAAAAATTAATTTTAGCATAATTGACATTAATTTTTAAAAAAAATATTATTAATATATTTTTTTTTTAAAAATTATTAAACTAGTATTTTAAATATCTCACATTATAATATGTATTACACTTTATATATATAWAATTATAAATGATTTAATTGTCAAAAAAATTTGCCAAACAATTATTTGTTTATAAAAACATTTGTTTCATTTTCAAAACAAAAATAACATTTTAACATTAAGCTTATTTTTAAAAATTAAATAAACTATAAACATAATTTGATATTTAATTAAAATCAATATCTAATGTAATGATTACTAATGATTCCCATTTTTTTATACATAAATATAATGCAAAAAACATTTCCAGATATTTTAGTTAAAAAATTATTTATCATATAAAATATCAATAAATTAATTTTTTCGATTTAAATCAAAATTATTACATTTTATTTATAAATTAATAATTTAATAAAACAAGTTGTAGTTAATCAATCAATTTAATTAAAATAAATAAATAAATAGTTTACTAGAAAAAAAACAGTACAATACAGTTATATTAAAAAAATGAAAAACATTTATTATATAAATTAAGTAGAAATTATTTAAATTAAATAATTAATTATTAATTATTAATTAATTAATTAATTAACTACCAAATGGCACATTTGTCTACTGGATTCATGGGTGCACCCAATGGACAGTTAAATACTTTTGCAAACTCAGGTGAGTTGGATACTACACCGTTGACTCTGATTTTTAAATAAAAAAAATAAAATAAAAAAATAATTAAAATTTTTTTTAACTAAATTCTTTAAAAAATATTTTTATTGCCTATAAAACAGACATACCTTTGTCTACCGGGACTATGACTATCGGTCAGCACCTGAAGCAATAGGTATTCATTGGTTGATTTTGAACACCATTGGACGGCCGAACTGATCCAAAACAATTGATTGGGCGTATAGTCCAGTGCCGGCAATCGTGGTTCAGTTACGCCAGATTTGGCCACATATTTTTGATAAGCTCTGTATATATATACAGTAAAGTAAAGTACAGTATTAATAGTTATAAAAAAAGTCTAACTAAAAAAACCAGTCCTAACAACACATACATACTCACTCTTACTCTCTCTCTCTCTCACACACATACATTGTCTCTCTCTCTCTCTCTCTCTCTATCTCTCTCTCTCATACGTACAGTATCTCTCTCTCTCTCTCTCTCTCTCTCTCTCTCTCTCTCTCTCTCTCTCTCACACACATATATACACATCTCTCTCTCATCTACATAGTCTCTCTCTCTCTCTCTCTCTCTCTCTCTCTCTCTCTCTCTCTCTCTCTCTCTCACACACACACACAAAGACACACACTCTCTCTCTCTCTCTCTCTCTCTCTCTCTCTCTCTCTCTCTCTCATACATCTACAYACATACTCTCTCACTCACTCTCTCTCACACACATAGTCTCTCTCTCTCTCTCTCTCTCTCTCTCTCTCTCTCTCTCTCTCATAYAGTCTCTCTCTACATACATACTAATCTCTCTCTTACACACACACACACACACACAGAATGACAACCTAAGCACCTACCTATACGATTGAATGACACCGCCGTTATCGGCAATATTCTCTCCCTGAGTGTTAATGCCATTGACCTTTTGGTTGACCTCAGAAACAGTATAGTTGCCGTACTGTCCGATAATACAGTTGGCTTTTTCCTTATAGACAGTATCCGTATGCGTGTCCCACCAGTTCCTTAAATTACCCGATGAATCATATTGTCGGCCACCGTCATCGAAACCGTGAATTATTTCGTGACCCGAAACATAGCCAATAGAGCCGTAATTCATATAACTTTTTTTTCAATTTTTTTAAATGAAAAAAATAAATAAAATAATTTTTTAGTTAAATATTTTGTTTGTTTGTTTGTGACTAAATATAATCTATATATACATATATTAAGAGTCCTAAAAAACTAGATATAATTTATTAATAAATTATTTTTAAATTTATATATAATATTAGACTACTATTAATATTAATATTTCAATTATTTATAGCATATATATATATTTAAAAAAAATATTTTATAAGCTATTGTTATTAGACTAGAAATTTAGACTAAAAGAAAATTATATATATATATGTTATAATTATAAATAAAATTATTTTTTATGTATTATTTAAAATATATACAGTATATATAWATACTTAGGTCTATCCTTATTGTAGAAAACACCCTGAAGTATGCCGGCCGGCATAACCACCAAATTTTTCAGCTGATGATAGTAGGCATTGACAATGGCTACCGATGCCAGTTCACGCCAACTAAATAATTAATAATAATAATAATTAAAAAATATATAATTTAATTTATATTTTTTTGTAAATTTTAAAAATAGCATGTTTTAAAAAAATTAATTGTAAAAAAAATTATAGATAATTATTTCAGTGTATTATGACTTAAATTACTCACTCAAACGGGTCGACCGGTTTACGTAGTTTACCGAAAGCCAGATCCGAATACCATTTGGTCAGACGGGCATTATTGCCGAAATAGTCGCCCGAATTCATTGATAACTATTAATATATGATTGAATTAAATATAAAAAAAACATACAAACAAACAATTTTATAGATAGCACCTACCGTTTGATAATAGTCGGCCACTTTTTTATCGTCCAATAGTTCGTCGGGATAGCCGACAACCAGTTTAATATTATCTAATTTTTTTAGCGCGTGCTCTAACGTTGCCGATTTCATCCACGTGTTAGCTAATAGACTACTTTTAAACTCCTGGACAACATTATTAAACATTTCCTGAGCCTTTAGGGGGGAAAAACAATTAGTTATTAAAAAAAAATTTAAAAATTTCAATAAAAAAATTATTTTAAAAAAAAATTACTTTTTGTTTGTTAGTATCGTTGAAAAAATGTTTGACATACAGATGCGATAGGGCTATACTCAGTGCTGTTTTCGTATTTTTCAGGCATACCTCCCAACGGGGCGACCGTTGTTTAGTACCATAGATGGCAAACTCAAACTCCTGTTTCAATTGATACCATGACTCGTCCAGAGTGGACAGTTCGGTCTGGACGACCCGCCATAGTATATAATCGACTAGAAATCTATAGAAATAATAATAATAATAATAAT